AAAACTGCCAAAGAGGAGAGAGAGGGAAGAGAGCAGAAGCAGAGGCCATCATCCTATGCATTATGCTACAAAATGGCGCGCGCGCACGCACGCACGCGCGTGCACGCACACACACACACAGCACAACAATAAAAATTAAAAATCAGAAAACAGAAAAATCTGACTATACTGTTCAGAGCATCACTGCCCAACCACGCCCTCTAGAAGAGGAGTCAGAGCTGCACAGAGCACAGTGAGCATGCGCACAGCCTTCAGTGAGGAGAAAGGCGCAGGTGCAAGTTTGGGGGTCAGGCTTTCACTCTGATCAGCGCATCTGTTCTGAACCCCAACTCCCACTCAGTGCACCCTTCCCTCTCCTATCCACGCAGCTGCAGAGCTCGGATTTCACTTCATCTTGATTGATCTTGGGTCAATCTCCACCCTGGGACTTTGTGTCCCACCTCCGGCCCAAGCCATTTTCATTGTCACTGATGCCAGAGGTGGAAGAATTTTCAGGAACTCCAGTGTTCTTATCAAGTGTCTGTTTGCTCGGTACCATTCAAACATTTTTCACATATTTTCTTTTTATCTTCAAAATGATGTAAATTGGGTAGAAGGAAACCAATTTATATCTTACAAACTGTCTACTGAGTCTCATATCACTTAAATGATCTGATTGCCTAAATTTCTAAAACTCATCAGAATGGAGATTGAAATGTGTGACTTATAATTCTTAATTCGGTGTCTTATGAAGCAAAATTGTATACAAAAAGCATGGGTTTCCAAACATGTTTTTCTGGGAGTTGAATCCCAGTTCACTGCTTACTGCAAGCTGTGATGTTCTGGACTGGTTACTTAATATCTCTGAGCTAAAATGTGAAAACACAATCAGTAGAAAAAGCTCCTGGAAAGAAGTGGAAATGCTTCTAGCCTTATTTCAGATCATCATCCTAAATCCAGTATCTCAAGGAGAATAAAAGCAATTATAACAACACAAAATAAAATGCGTTACTTATTCTCAGGTGGGGGACTGCCAAGAAGCACCTCATACATTTTTAAACATTCCTTCTTTCTGCTCTCAACAGGTTTCTACTACAAGTTCTCTGGCAGCTAGCTAGAGCTTTTTCTGTCATGGGTGTACCCTTTTTGGCCACAGCAGGCTTCCATATTCTAATGAATGTCAACCTCCTGGGTGAGACAAGAGAGACTCCAGTGCCCTTCTTCAGAGCCCTCTCCCAGATTTCTCTCCTGAGTTTTCTTGTTCAGTGTTATCTGGGTACTTAGCGAGATACGAGCTACAGATCTCATTTAATCCTCAACCACTCACTAATGGGTCCTCTTGTCCCCACTGCCCAGCACAGGAAACTGAGGTCAACCCTAACAAGCTGATGAGGAAACCAGAGTCCCACATCCAGGAAGTGGTTGAAGCGGCTCAGACTCCAGCTTCTGAGTTCTCACTAGCTCTGCTATATGGCCTCCTGTGCTTCCTTCCGCCACAGTCCAATGTGCATTTACCTTGCTGAAAGCAGAACACTTGACATTTTTACTGATCCGTTAGCGTATGCAAACATGAGTGCGCACCGTTTGACCAGATGCTGGAGCAGCTCTGCGTCTGCGTCATCGGAAGTCCTTATAACAGTGGTGTCTTTCAGGCACCAAAAGCTCCACAAGTACAGGGAGTGAGCCATTCAATTCTATTCAGTGGAAAGGAGGGAGAAAAGTAAATAGCATGGCAACCACAGGGCAAATAAAACTGGAGGTGTCTCCATCACTCTTCAGTTGCTTACTAAACGTTTCAGCCACAGACACGCGATACCTCAAAGTTCCCTCATCAGTTCATTTTGAAGTTCTTTATCCTGTTGGCCCAGTGTCTGTCAAAGGTGTCAAATCACTGCCCTCACTCTACATGTGCAGCATGCGACTATGGCGATTGAATGTATACTTTGATTTAAAAACAAACAAACCTAACCTCAGACTTTGAGGCCAAAACTTCTCTCCCTGTGACCTGGAGGGCCTCTATTTGATATCATGCAGATCCTCCAAGTCTATGCACCTTCCTCAGCACAGCCTGGAATTGCTTCTATCCCCTCATGCCTCTGGCCCTGTGACACCCCCTCTGGGGCCACTATCAACCCTATCCCCTACCTTCCATGAGCAAGCGTCCAGCTCCCTGGCTACCAGGACCTTCCTCCTTCTTCCTCTTTCTGACTTTGGGCCAAACCCCAATTAGACATTATTTACTCTATATTAGGACTTCTTCCAAAACACTCGTGGCCCGCCTCCTTTTACTAATGGGGAGAAGGTGAGATGAGGTTTGTGAATGCAGTAACAATGGAGACAGAAGAGTGGCTCTCGTGGTAGTAACCCCTGGGAGCCACACTACCAGATCAATTCTGCCCTTTACCTCTAGGAGGCAGTAGGCAGCAGGTTCTCCGTAGAACTGTGCTGCACTGGTTCTTGTTCATTCTCTCCTGCAGTGAGCCTTCTGCATTGCCTGACACTGAACCGGGTGCTAGACTACCGCCCATCCTATGACATTTCCCACAATGCCAAAGGACAAAGGAGAGAGGAACAAGTAAGAACGTTTATGAAGCCTCCACCAGCCTCATCCTTTCCTTGGAGGGTATTGGGGCATACAGTTGACAGCTGCAGTTAAAGTATGGCTTCCAGTTCCTCCAGCAGCACTTTGGGTGGTGTGGTATTTAATCTCTTTGAGCCTTGGTTTCCCCATCTGAAAGACAGGCACTGCCATTTAGCTCAGTGGTGTTAAATAAAATAATGCATGAACAGGCTAACTGCCTAGCATATAGTGAACACTCTCAAAGTACCCAGAATGCACCAGGGAGCAAGAAAGCCCATCTCCACCCAGACTGCATCTCAGTTCCTGGTTTTATATTCATGCTGAGAATTTGCAAGAGATACCAGGGGGATGCAACCAATCAGCTTATGCAGAAGCTCCTTACTCAAGGGAAATAACATAGGTTTGCAATAACTCAAATGAGCAATAGCAAAATCATTTTTATCTGTTGTACTCTGGAACGGAGCACACACTTATTTATGGTTCTAAAATCTGGCTCTTAATCACGTCAACACTCTTCCAATGCTATATTGTACCCCTAGAATACCATGCATAAGATAAAACATAATTTACCGAGGACAGCAACCTTTTAAAATTGTGTCTACCCGAAGCAAGCACTCAGTGGGTTCCCACAGTTGGTACCTTTTCCACTGGGTGGAAGTTCATTCCAAGCGACTCCTGCTAGCACTCTTGTCTCACATTCATCTGGGTGTCCACGTGAACACGAGAACACCTTTCTCACACGACTCTGAAGCTTCTCCACAGACTGCTCTCAGCCCAGCCTGCCCTAGACTGAACTGTGGGAGGCAGAAGCAGTAGTCATCTCCCCCCCTGCCACCAACAGATGGTGGCACTGGTCATAAAGTGTTCTCTGCTAAATCTGGGCTGTGGCAGTTCTCAAGCAACATGCTTGGAGTAGCGAGGTGAGGTTTGGGGGTGCTCACCAACATTCTTGACCACACAGCATGACCTTGAGATAGAAACCTAAAGGCAGTTCTGAAAGTGATGATGATTTAAGATGGCAATACTAAGGTGGACATGGTTCTAAAAACGGCAAGCGTTCCACGCATCGCAGGAAAGTGAAACACTGTGAGACAGGAATGGCTGAAAGAACAGGTATGAGGGCTGTGGAAGCTAAGCAGTGAGCATGGATCAGTGGGGTGAGGCATAAACAATCGAGTAGCTAACAACGGCTCAAAAATCCAAGCAGAACATGCTTTCTGTGATTTCAGACTCAGTGCTAATGTCAAGTGGGAAACTGTCTGTCCGTGACATTTAATCTAACGTGAGTTCAGGCATTTCCTTTCAGAAACTTCAAAGCAATGTTCTCTCTCTCTCTCTCTCTCTCTCTCTCTCTCTCTCTCTCTCTCGGCTTTTGTTGTAGTTGTTTTGGTATTTTGTTTTGTTTTGTTTTGTTTTGTTTGTTTGTTTTTTTTTTTGAAACAGGGTTTCTCTGTGTAGATTTGGAGCCTGTCCTGGATCTCACTCTGTAGACCAGGCTCGCCTTGAATTCACAGAGATCCGCCTGCCTCTGCCTCCTGAGTGCTGGGATTAAAGCCATGCACCACCACCGCCTGGTGCAATGTTCTCATTTAACTGTACTCTGGAAATACCTGAGGAGGTTTTCAGACCCTAGAATCCCAGGCTATTATGGAACCAGATGTCAGGGCCATTCAGAGCCCTCCAGGTGACTCCAGTGTGAAACCACAGTTAAAACTACCTCGAAATATAATAATGGGGAAAACATGGCCGTTGTCGTTGTGGGGCTAATATCCTTCTGACTGTGCAGATCCTGAGTGGATGTGAGTGGATGCCTTCTAATTCCTGTGATATTTGGGTCTTCACGACAGAAACTACTTGCTTTGGGCATTTTTCTTTTTAAATTCTTACGACCATTGTGGAGGAGAACATAGTAATCATGATAGAACAGAAGATGCCTTGTAGTGTTGAAGGATCTACTCACATACCTATCTGGAAAAAAAAATCTATCAAGACTCCAAGTTTTCATATCTCTCAGTCACAAACGAACAGACACATAAACCTGTCCTAAACGCCAGACCAGTGGTTCCCAACCTTCCTAACGCTGCGTGCGACCCTTTACTGCAGTTCCTCATGTTGTGGTGACCCCCAGCCCAGCCTTCCATAAACTATTTTCTTTGCTACTTTGTAACTGTGGTTTTGCTGCTGTTATGAATCACAATGCAAATATCTGTGTTTGCTGACAGTCTTAGGAAAACCCCGTGAAGGGGTTGTTCGACCCCAGGTTGAGAACCATTGCTCTAGGCGCTTCTAAACCAGGATCATTTTTCCGCTTTCATTGCCCAGCTGACCAGTTCTCATCTGTTCACTCACTCTGTATGCCCTGGTAAATTTCTATGTTTAACTACTTAGTTTTGCCTTAACAACAATGCCTCATTTGCTCCTCAGAATAGTCGCATTTTACCTTATCTGCCATGATCATAGATGAGCCCCCATGGATGCCCAGGATAGGGGTGAGAGTCTGAGCAGAAATGAAATCGAGGATCTGGGCGATGGCTTCCTGGTCAGTGTCGTCAGCGAACACCACCCCCTGGATCTTCCGGTCGGACATAAGATCGCAGATGCGGGTGATGATGCTCTTTGGGTCAGTTTCGTTCATGGCTACCAGCTCCACCCGGGGAACTACTGAGAGATGATGGAAGTCATCTTTCTCGTGGGCGTCTTTTATGGCCACTTCGTCTGAAGTGCCCACGAGGATGACCGCGATGCCGATGCTGGGGGCGCTCTTTTGGGAGCGAGCTTTGCTGCCGGACACGGCCAGGACGGCCAACACCAACCAGAACTTGGGAGAACAGCACTCTGCGCTGGGCTTCATCTTCAGCTTGTCCACTCTCTGCAAACAGAAAGGAGAGAATGGTTTAAACCATGAGGTGTGCTCCGGAATACATCTTTGCAGCATCTGAATGCTGCAGAGTCAAGAAACCCTATCTGCTGGTCGTGAAACTCAATTTCTCTCCCCTAACCCAGTCTCTTAATTCTGATGTTCTCTGGGCATGATGAGAGAAAAAGAAATTTTCAAAAGCCTAATAAATCTTTGACCAAGACAAATCGGCAGCCAACAGATAGCGATAAAGCAGACGAGGATGTGCTGAGGAGTGTGGGCCAGCCAAGCACACAAACACTGGGGCAGCAGGAGGGGCCTTGCTGTTGCCGGGACCCCTGGCACTCTAGTTATAACCATCCTTGAGCTGCCCTTGGCAAAGACCAGGCCAAGTGATCTGTAAAGGGGGCTCAGCAGAGGCTGGCCACAAAACATGGCCTGGATACGATGAATCCAGCAAGCTCCAGGCATGGAGACCCCGTGTTCTTGTTGCCTGGACCTCGTGTTTGCCTCCCAGAGAGTGACAGCCTGGAAACGCTTCAGTGTTTCCCTTTTAAAATATTTCTTAACATTAAATCAGAGAAGCAACACACGGGTACTCAATTTTAATTGATCTTTACAATCACCCAGCGGGGAAAAAATAAAAGGAATATTAGTATCTTATTTTATACATGTTGATGCCAAGAGTCAATGAAGTTAAGGGACTCAACCAAGACTTAATAAATTAAGTGAAGCAGTCCTTAAAAAAGATAAGATTCCATTGTGTGTGTGTGTGTGTGTGTGTGTGTGTGTGTGTGTGTGTGTGTGTAAGAGAGAAAGAAAGAGAGAGTCTGTATGTCTGTGTGTCTTTGTGAATATATAATACTTGTGTGCAGGTACCCTCCGAGTCCAGAAGAGGCATCATATCTCACGGAACTGGAGTTACTACAAATGATTGTAAGCTGCCAATGTGGGTGCTGGAAACTGAACTCAAGTCCTCAGCAAAAGCAGCAAGTGTCCATAAATGCTGAGCCATGTCTCTAGCCCCACTCGAAGCAATCTTGAACCCAATCTTCTGATTTTTGTGTTCTAACTTGTATTCTATGACACTATATACCCCACACTGCCTTCCGCATCATTGATTACTGTATTACAAGAAACAGTATCATCCTGACCTTTTTATGCATCAAAATACACGAACAAGCAAATACTACTCATAGTTGGAGTCATGGAGTGTCAACCTTGAGGATAGTTCTATGTTATTTCTGATGACAGCCTGTAACCGTAACTTCCTGAAAGGATGGCCTATATATTTGTGTACAATTCACTGCCTTCTTCCTACAAAGGGCCCCTCCCTCTATTTCCACAAAGGCTCCTAAATCACACACCACACAGCAGACTAAAGATGCAGGACTCTGTAGAATATGAGCCTGGTCATTTCTCTTTATGTTTCCCATCATTCGCTCTAAGTGCCTCTTATTTTACAAGAATGGGCTCTGTCTGTGTAGCTTTGCTTTAAATGGTCGTTTATTGTACAGTATTAGACACTGTGCATTGGAAGGCATTCTCCTCATGTGCAATCTCTTTGTTTCTTCTGAAAATTCTACAAATTAGACATTTTATTCCCATTTCTCAAATGGAAAAACTGAAGCTCAGGATGGTTATGTAATCCTCCAAGGTCAATAATGTTACAATACCAGAATGCAAATAGATTAATATAGCATTATTCTCTAAGAAAACAGCCTACCAGCTGTACCCAGACCTAGAAGAGACTCTCATTTTTCTACCAAACATGAAAATGTGGTTTAATCTCTCTTGTTTTTTTGACTAAAAATTCTTAGGCACCTAAGAATTTGAGAATTTGGCTAACAAAAAGAAAAAAATGATAATGAAGGTATTGAACAAAGACAGATCAGGAAGTATTCAAGCTGAACAGACTGACCACAAAGGGCGTTAGTGATTCGGGAGTGAGATGCTGGGACATTTTGTGGCTGAGGAAGCACAAAATCCAATCCAGTTCTTGGCAGAAAACCTTCTGGAACTCTTGCTGTTATAGTCATTCTTCAGCATTGCCAAGAGGAGACCTGGGTCGATTGCCTCACTTCTCCCGAAAGAAATAATATGAGTGTCTCCATGGTTCATACCCACCAAAGCTCACTCCTGACAGCTTTCTGGTCTCCCTGTTCCTATAGAAATGAGGAATGATTCCATAGGTTCCAAAAGCCCATGCTCATGGGCTACGGAGGGTCTGCCAGGAGAACTGGGGACTGAGCACCTCCTTCTCAGTGTTTAAAGAAAGGCAATAGGATCCAGAGGTTGTGTAGCACCAAATAGTCAGTGGGAGACAGTTGGATTTAGTATCTCAAAGGGATGGGAAATACACATGCTCAATTCTAAGGGCTGATTTTCAACGAGAACCCAGACATTTAGAATTTGGCTAAATCTATCCACTAGCTTCATTCCAGTGAGATCCTAATCCTACAGTTACAAGTCCCTAAATTAGATTTCTTCACATTTAAAAGTGTCCCACTCTGCCACGACAGTTTATTAACTTTAATGCACCCGATGCTCTTCTGTTTCATGCTTTTATTTGCTCTCTTTAAACATCTCTCATGTTCCTCCATTTTCTCTCACACAATATATTATACTCTTTTACGCAATGGCTAGTGGTGACATTCAGCGAATAGGATCTAGTTTTACCAAGTGTCTCCTTCATATTTGGGATAGAACAGAGCTCTTTACAAACTAATACATTATGGGAGATAACAGTGACAGAGAGACCAGGAGCTGCACAGAGAAAAAGCTCTGAATACAAACTCCATTTCAGACACAGGGGTTGGGGGGCACTTGAGAGAAAGTGTGTGGTATAAGATAAATAATGCTGTGCTCTTCTTCAGACAGGACTACACTGAATGCCCTGCTCTTTGACGTTTGTTCCCTCTTCTCCATTTTATTTCACCCTCCCAAGGAGAACTGGGAAGCACGTCCTTTGACTTCTCACCAAAGCCCATGAGGTCTACCTAATGCTTGGGATGGTTTAGTACACTTATATGACAGTTCATCTGCCCATCTTAACCAATAGGTGACCTACTCACAAACAGACCTCTGAGGTTAGCCATCTTGTAGTGAGTACCAACTACTTTGAAGACAATGTGTTCCCCTAATTTTCTTTTTGCCTCCAGCAGTGGGAATTGAACCCAAGACCTTGCACATACTAAGCACATGGTCTATAATTGTGCTATATCCCAATCCTGGACATAACTTTTTACCCTTAGTTTCATGCTGAGGATACCATGAACACATGTTCTACCATTCAGGATTATCATCTAAGAGAAGTTACAGCCATAAAAGAAATGTCTTGTCTCATTTCTATTTACATTCTTGGGATGTAGCACTGACTCATATACCATAAACAGGATAGATTCTATCAATTATAGACAGTTATAGGCTTTTACCATTTCATTAGATCATACATAAAACTGTGATATATAAGTTTGTATTTCAAATAGTTTCCCTACTGTGTGACAGATACTATGATTGACAAAAGATTTTCATGCATTACTTGCTTCCTATAAAAACACTGTAAGTCATAAGTCATAAGTTATGTTATAAGTGAGTTATAAGTGAGAAAAGAGGTCTGAGAGGTTAAACACATGACCAAAATCATATAGCAAATTGCGCTTCCTAGCCAAGTTTGTCTGACTCTAAAAGCCTTTCTTTTTCCATTCTGGGAGTGCCTTAGTACAGGTAGATAAAAGAGAGAATGAACAAATGAATGAGTGAGTGAATGAAATTACTAACCTGGCTTTAAACTAGTGTCATATTAACAAAGTGAATTGGGGTGAGATCGTCACCTAATTGGTGTTTTCTATTTTGTCATTGGTAAAATCAGGATAATGGACCTAATCTACACCCCTGGAGGGGGTTGTGAAGATCAAATGATAATGTGTATATGGAAGCCCTTTGAAGACTATAAAGCACTCTGCAGATGCAAAGCGTGTTGCTGTGATGATTTTTGAAGCTGCCCAAGGAGCCTAGCTATTTATGACAGCACAAAATGCGCATGTGAGGGGTGGGGTGAGGGAATGTCAGAGGCTAAGAGGAATGTTCAGAGTACTTGGGGCAAAAGACATCCATTCTCTTTAGATACAACTTTCTGAAAAGATGTCACACAATATCCTCAGAGTAACAGCTGACTCCACTGACAGCATCCTGGTCAGGTAGCTGAATTCAGGAGCCATAAAGTCTAGGGGCCAATAATGAGTGAATATCCTGAAGCTCAATGTCCTCAAACCATGCTTTAAATTCATGCATAAAAGGGGTACAAATAGAATCAGCAAGAAGGCAGCAGGATTAGATTGACCATCCACTCTTTCAGCCCTCTGTTTCCTTGGCATTTGGTCTGGGTGAGCCATGCCAAAGGCTTCCTGCTGTAAGGTGCATGACGCTCACAAGAGGCAGCCTACCCTTGCTCCTAACTGCCTCTACCTACATCTGGTTGAGGAGATGGGTCAACACTTTCTTTAGAGAAAACTGAGTCCCAGGATAACTCTAATAGAAAGCGTGAAATGTGATTTTGTAGGAAATTTAAGCCAAAGTTGCCAAGCACTACTCAATCAGGATGTTGTCTGAAGTCACTCTGTTAAGAGACCTTGATGGGAATATGATGGTCAACCAGGGATTAAAAGCTTGGGAACTAGACAGATGTTATTGCACATGCTTGTCATCCCAGCACTTAGAGAGTTGAGATAGGAAGACCGAAGGATCGAGTCCAACCTGGGCTACAGAAGGAGACTGTGTCTAATAAAAGAGCATCAGAGCCATGCTTCAGACTCAGGAGCTTCCAAAGCTATGAATAAAGCTGAAGAGCTATGATGCTTTAAAACCTACCACCTAAGAAGGTAGGGAAAGCATAGTGGCCTTCACTGTGGAAAACATGAGTGTAACTTTTTTGAAGGTCAATGTGAGCATCTCAACATTATGATACCAAGACAAAAGCCAACAATAAAACCATCAAAAGATAATAACTGTCA